TGAGGATGCCCTGAGAGAAGCTCCTGATCAAACAGATGTCTTGCAAAAAGCAGCCCAGTTTTACAAGAGAAAGGGTAACCAAGACAGAGCTAACGAATTCCTTGTAAGAGCACTGGGATCCACAGCACACAACAGTTCCCTCTACTGCTTAGTCATGTGCAGTTACAGGGAAAAACTGGAACAACTGCAGAACACAGGAAATGCTGAAAGCAGTGACAGCAGGGAGAAGACGGAAGAACTGAGAAGATTAACGATGGAGTACATGCACCGGGCTCTCGAGAGGAGGCGAAGTCCTCTGAACTCCTACTCAGATCTCATCGATTCCCCGGAAGTAGAACGATGCTATCAGTTGGTCTTCAGCAAGGAGAGCCCTCGTGCTGAGGAGCAACAGCTCTACCAGCGTTATTGTGACCTCCAGGAGTATCACCGGAAGTCTGAAGACCTGGCTGCCCTGAAGGTTTTACTGCAGTTTCACAGAAACGAAAAATCCCTTGAGAAGGAAGAGCTAAAACAGCAAGCATAGGCCGCAGACGAAAACCTGTAGCAGCAAAATGTGCCGGATTCTTGGCATCTCCGGGGAATAAATCAGAAGCTGGGTGGGGGGGACACTCTTTAGGGGCACAGGCAGCCTTTTCTAGACAGCATCTGAGCCTGAGGACAACGGGAAGTGTGCCAGTGTGCAGGCGCTCAGCTCTGCACTGTGAGCCGTGGAGTGGTTGGTACTGATCAGGAGTGGAGGTGCAGGAGCCCTCCCGTCAAGTGTTGCTGAGCAGGCCGCTCTAGGTGAAATGCTTTAACAAACACTTTTAAAGAGCTGCTTTCTCCCCGATTCCCCCGTCCATTCCAGCTCTATAATTTCCCAGTCAGCAGGTCTTATCACTAATCACCCAGGGAAACTGGACTCCAGGTCACACACCACTTTTCGATCACTATCTTTGCTCTGTAATATATGCAAATTTAGTCTTATTTCTTCATTCCAGTTGAGTGCAGCAATCTAAGCCTGAAAGATTAGCTTTTTCCTAACCTTATTCTTTTATTCCACCACGTGTTTGTGTGTATTCCTGACAATGATTCTATGGTGAACATGTATGACAAACTGAAATGCATTTATAATAAATCTAAAAGTTTCAACTCAGAATATAGATAATTGTGTGTGTGTGTGTGTGTGTGTGTGTGTGTGTGTGTGTGTGTATTATGGTATGGGACAGGGAACTAAGACAATACTATTAAATCTCAAAGTTTCTTCTGCTAGGACTGGGGGTGGCTTCTGAGGTCTATACCCCTTTCTGAGGAGCGGATAGCAGTTATTAAAGAAAAAGAGAGGACAAGAAGTTGGGAGGGGAGCATGCTGGGGTGTACTAAGGATATTGACAGGGAGGTGGTGGGGATAGATATGATCAAAATATATTATATACATGTATGGAATTTTGAAGAGTTTTTAAAGATTTTTCTTCCACTAGGATGATGGAAAATTATGAACGCATAACATACTTTCCAAAGCACATCTATTTGAATATCTCTTTCCATGCTGAGCCAATCCAGCTGTTACCTATATCTAGGAACTGCTACTCTTCTTCTAGTCCACAGATCCAGCTGAGGTCTGTGCACAATTAGCAGCTGTTTCTTTGGCCATATTTTCGGGGGCCCAGAGAGACCCGAGCAAATGCCCTCTCATGAGTGTGTGAGGATACTGGTACTCGACCAGCCTAAGGACAGAGTCCATCCGGGGTGGTAATGGCCCATTCAAACTTGTCAGCATCTGACACTGAGAGCTTCATTTCACTCAGCCATCAGAAGAGTCTTCCAACTCTGCATGCTGTTTCTTTGCAGACTGTATTGTTGCTGTTGTTTTCAGACAGGGTTTCCCTGTGTAGCCCACGTTGGCCTGGAATTCACTGTGTAGCCCAAGCTTGTCTCAAATTCACAGTTCTCTGTCTTCACCCTCCCTGCTTCTTGGATTTCAGGTGTGGGGCCCCATGCACAGCTCTGGGGTCTCTTTTTAATTCATTTATGAGTGTAATTCATAGCCACAGGTTATATATTTAAAAAGCAGTAACATATAAATAAGATTAGTATTTGAATAAATTTCTTTCCCCTAAATGAGGAACCAAATTCCAGAAAAAAAAATATTTGAATAAATTCTAAGATGATTTTCTAGTTAGTTTAGTAACTGGAAACATGTTAGGAGGTATGCAAGTGGTGGGGATGCCATGATAATATACAATTCTCTCTCTCTGAATTTAGAACTGTGCAAAACCCCCACATCAAGCAGCCTTTTGATAGACTCAAAATACACTAATCAAAAACTTGATCCTTCTAGGTATTTTGAGACTTACGAAATTCTATATTTAAGAAGCAATCAGCCAGGTGTGATAACACACTTCTGTAGCCCCTGGAAGATGGAAGCTTCTAGGCTAGCCTAGACTGCATGGCATGTCTTAGGCCAGCCTGAACAATACAGCAAGACCCTGTCTTAAAAAATATTAATTACAGAAAGATGACAATGAAATACATGAAAAGGATGACAATTAACAATACTGAGAATAATTGAAAGAGTAGATTTTGAGAGTTATTACTATAAAAAAGTAAGTACTCCAGGTGATTCATGTTAATGGATTGATACAGCCATTCCATAACTTATATGTATAGCAGAATATCATGTTACAGCATAGATATCTACTTTTAATTGCAAAGTCAATAATTTCATATTTAAAACAAGAGGCTAATATAAGGGACAATAACATAATGAATAAATTTACTCAGTTGCCAAGGATTCCTTTGTCAAGTATTCCCATCTGCCATCATTTACTTAATAATTCTACTGAAATGCTGTTTAAAATGGCACATGTCACTCAGAAATACAACAGATCATCAGTCTGAGATATTATAAAGTGGGCGTAGGGAAATTAAAACTACCACAACATACAAGTTCTGTGGGATAATGCTTTTGTACACTGGTTTAATAAAATGCTGATTGGTCAGTAGCCAGACAGGAAGTATAGGCAGGGCAAGCAGACAAGGAGAATTCTGGGAAGAGGAAGGCTGAGTTAGGAGTTGCCAGCCAGACACAGAGGAAGCAAGATGACAAGGCAGAACTTAGAAAAGGTACCAAGCCACATGGCTAAACATAAATAAGAATTATTGGCTAATTTAAGTGTAAGAGCTAGTCAGTAATAAGCCTAAGCTAATGGCCAAGCAGTTATAAAAATAATAAGCCTCTGTGTGATTATTTTATAAAGCGCTGTGGGTGAGAGATTTGTCCCGACCACAGGCCAGGTAGGACACAGAAAAACTTCCAGTTACAAACAAGGCGTAGGAGTGTATATGAAAAGGATTGTGCTGTCTCAATTGTTAACTAGTATCAGTTGTTACTAGCTCCTAAACTTTTCTCATTGAAGAATACTAGAAACCACTTAAAAAGAAGCATGATTTTAGAAGGTGAGATTGCACATCTGAGAGTATAGGGCTCAATGTACTGTCATCTATAGTTTCTTTCTTAGTATGACATTACTGTAGCTGAAGAAGACACAGCAGTAATTGCCATGTCTCCACAATACATTTGGGCAGAGGGAAATAAAAGTATAATCTATCAATTATCGATCAATATATAGCAAACTATCTCACATCTGTAGCATATAATAAGAGCCATTTTGTTTGCTTAGAACTGAACTAAAAAGATAGCAGAGTTCAGCTTGAGAGTTCTTTCACCAGTTTTTCTGGGAGTCTCTTTTTTGTAAGGTCTCTCTTGCTCTGTCTGTCTCCCTCCTTCCCTCCTTCCCTCATCACTCTGTGTGCGTGTGTGTGTGTGTGTGTGTGTGTGTGTGTGTGTGTGTGTGTGTGTGTCTGTATGTCTGTGTGTGTGTGTCCACATGTGTATGTGGTGCGTGTGCTCAATCTGTATAATGTTACTTACATGTATATGTTTTCAGGGTTAACCATTGGTATTGGATAACTAATTAGTGTGCTCTTCCTGGGGAAGACTATTTCTCCCATCCCAATACTCCTTAGTTGCCTATAGTTTTTTGCATAGGGTTGAGGCATCCTAAGCTTTCCCACTTCCACTTTAGCATGTCTACTGTGTCCTCCTTATTCAAGTCATGTTTAGACTGCTATGTTGGGGAGACTCTATAGCCATAGTGCCTCTGACATTCATAACAGACACAATCTCACACCAAACTTCCTGTTCCTTTGGCTTTTCAATGTTTTCCCACCCTCTCTTCTGCAATGACCCCTGAGCCTCAGGTTCAGGAGTTGTGACATAGAAGTATATGTTGGGACTTGGCTTCCTAACTCTGCATTTTGATTGATTGTGGTTTTCTATAATGGTCTCTGTCTGTTACGAAGAGAATTTTCTTGATGAGGTATAAATACTCATCATGGGTATTTAGGTGGGTATAGGACAATGTTTTAGGGATTATGCTGGTTTAGTAAAGTGGCAGTTGTAGGCTCTCTTCTAAGATCCACGACTTTACCAGTCCTAGGCAGTTGGCTAGGTTTCCAGAACCAAGCATGATTTCCCTCTTGTTGAGCAAGTCTTCAGTCTAATTAGAGATCTATTGGTTACCACCAAGGTATATGTGTCACTATTACATTCTTAGGACTATCCTAGTGTCGTTCTGATTGTTATTGTGGTTTATAAGTATCATAGCTTGGTAGTACTATTGCTTGCTTCCCTCCTTTGGAAGCTTGCATGGCACCTTCTGATACTACGACAGCCCGTCCGCAGATAGGAGGCTTTAAGGGCAGATCTACCTGGGGTCTGCTGGGCCCTAAGTCCAAAGTGCATAGTGTCTTCAGCAATATAGATTTACCTTTCACCTTCAGGGGGCAACCAAGAGCAACTCTGACCAGCAACTCAAAAGGGGGCTTCTCATGTCTGGTATTGGGATTTTTGTTAGTCTATGGCTCTTGCAGGGGGCTGGGGGGAAGGAACGGGACATCAGCCCAAATGGGAAATTTTCATTTAAACTCTACAGGTTACATTGATTTACATGTACTATAGGCATTGTAGGTAGATAGTTAATAGCATGATTCTTTATGAGTTTTTAAGACATTCTCCTGATATTTTGCCCTGCTTCTCCCAGGTATTCTTTAAGATTCCATAGTATCTATATTCTCAAGGCCTGTTTGCTTTGTCCCTTTTAACCCTGTGTAGATTGGTTCTGCTGTGTTCTGATTCCATACAAACATAGAATGTGGATTTCACAAACAAAATACACTCAAAATTCTGTGATATTCATAGATTTTTATTGAATACTATAGGGTTAAAAAATAGCAAGATAATATCACACAACTCTCAATAATCTAAGCAGTGTCATGAAATCACTTATGTCATTTTTAGTTTGCACATTGCAAAGAGGCCACCCCTTTACTCTGTCTTCCCAGAATACTTTGAAAGTCTTCTTAGCTGTCATTAAATGTCAGTGTATTTGGAACACATACATCCAACACAATTGTCTGAGGTCAGAAACTTGCTATAAAAAGTTGCATTGATTATAAAGTTGAGCTCATTGACCAGCAGGCTATGGCTATAGTAGGGCCTGTGGGAATGGAACTGTGGACTGGAATACTGTAGGGGAATCCTGAATGCCTCTCCTTTCTAGTGCTCATCCTTGCTCATTTAATTTGCTCTCACATATTGCTGAAGGTCAGAGACTCCTGAAGCATGGAAAAAAATAAGCCTTCTTTGGTGAAGTGTCCTTTGAACAGGGTCCTAGAAGACTGAGGGAGTGGGTCATGCACTCCAAAGGCACTCATAAGGAAAATGGTTCTTGTGGGTTCTGCACCCCACAGGTGTCCAGAAGAGCAGGAAGCAACCATGGTCAATGAACACAGCAAAGCGTGAAAGGAGAATGAATGCTCCTGTCACAGACACACATATTCAAGAAACAAAAAACAACAACCAAAAAACCCTACCAAACAAACAAACAAACTACAAAACAAAAAAAACAGGGCTGCAGAAAGCCGGAAAACAGAGGGAATCATCTCCAACTTGCTTCATCAGGTTCCACATAATTAAAGTAACAACTCCAAAAGAAGAGTAGAATAATGAGCCATGAGAATGCTTTATATGCCACTTGGTGAGCCGTGCTTCAAAACTCGGGGTTCAATGCTTCGGTGAGTCTCAGGGCCCTCTCATAGCATCGCAGAGCCTCACTCATGTCCCCTCTCAGTCTGTAGACAAACCCAAGGAGGCTGATGCTTTCCACAACACGAACATTCTGGCGAATGCGTCTTTCAGCCAGCTTCCGCAAAGCCTCCAGAAGCTTGTCTCTGACGTAGGAAGAAGTTACTCCTATTTTCAGACCCTTTATATAATGGGTGATCGCTTTGTCTTCTGATCGCCTATGAAATTGTTGGAAACGGCCATAGCGGAGATGAATGTCTTGCTGTATAGCAGCATCAAGGTTCCTCATGCTCAACACTTTCTGAAAATTGTCTTCAGCTTCTCCAAATTGCCAGTTTCTATGTACATTTCAGCCAGATTCACGTAAGCTATCTCAAATGTGGGTTTCAGTTCTAAAGTCTTTTGAAAATGCAACATAGCCAAACGGGTGGATTGGTCTGCTCTTTCTCTGTCCTGACCTCTAGGTTGCATGTGTGTAGCTTCCTTTATTTTGAACAGTTGTCTCTTGTAGCATAGTCCAATCTGATGATGCAAGAAGGCAGAGGAAGGTTTTGCCTGCAAGGCTATAGCAAGGAAGTGGAGCGCTTTCTCCAGAAAACCTTCCTTTCGGTAAAATTTGGCCATATATCCGAAGACATAAGTCTGGGAGGAGATGTTAGCCTGAGCTTCTTCAATGTACGTTCTTGCTTCAGCATGTTTTCCCAAGTTCTGAAGCTTTAGGGCAAGGAGAACCTTAATGTATGGATCTTCTGGATTTAACCTGACAGCCTTCCTTAGGGGTTCCAGAGAAAAAACATTGTCACTGAAATCCTGGCGATAGGCTACAATAGCATAGCCAATGTTGTATTCAGGGTTTTCAGGCTCCACTTCCAGAGCCTTTGCAAAGCAGGCCATGGCTCGTTTATAATTCTGTCTTCCACACTTCAGCAAGGCCCAGCCTTGCTCACAGTCTATCTCAGGACACTCCATACTATAGCGGAAGGGACTGCCCAATTCCTTGCAAGTGTTCTCCACCTTGTCCAGGTAGGTCTGGGCTTCTGCTAAGCTGCCCATGTGGTAATGCACCCAGGCACAGTTGCCCCAGGTCACCAGGCTTCTCTTGCCCAACTGCTCTCCCTGGATCAAAGATTCTGCTTCTTTCAGGCTGTGCAGGGCTTCCTTATGCTGGCCTTTCAGGTGTCTCACATACGCCAGGAGGTTGAGCATCCCCATGCTGTGGTTGGTGTCAGGGAACTCAGTATCAAAGATTCTCTTTTCCAAGTCAGGCATGTCCACATCTTCTATAACCAGCTCCCAGGTAAAGTGACATCTCAGCTGAACCAGGCTATCTTGTATGAGATTTCTATGAGATTCTTCACTGTAAAAACAGACCCCAGTTAATGACACCTTTTACACACTCTATGTACTGGAAATCAAACCAGTATTTTAAGTCACTAAACACCCCCCTTCCCAATATCCTTGCTGCCAGTATTTATTCCTTCTCTGTATTTATCTCTCTTACATAACAATTTGAAAAATTCAGCTCACTTAATGATTCTAGTACTTGGTTACAAAAGATCTACAATTCAATCAAAATAATAATTTCATTAATATCAATAGAATTTAACTCCTGTGTTGGTTAGTTTTATGCCATCTTGACCCAAAAACTAGAGTCATTAAGAAAGGGGGGTCCTCCACTGAGAAAATGCTTCTGTTAAGACTGGCCAAGTAGGCAAGCCTGTGAGGCACTTTATTAGTTGGTGATTGATGTGGGAGGGACCAGCCTATTATGGGTAGTGCCATCCCTGGGCAGACAGTCCCGAGTTATATATAAGCAATCAGACTGAGCAAGTCATGAAGGGCAAGCCTGTAAGCAGCACTCCTCCATGGCTTCTGCTTCAGTTCCTGACTCCAAGTTCCTACCTTGATTTCTCCCTCTGACTTACCCTCATGATGGACTACAACTGTAAAATGAAATAAACTCTTTCCCCACTACCAAGTTGGCTTTTTCTTTGTCATAGTCTTTATCACAGCAATAGAAACCCTAACTAAGACACCTATGATACCTAAGGCTTAGAGACTATCAAGAAAGAGTGATCTGAAAGATTATAAGAGCCAGAGGACCAGGAGGTCCGCTGTGAGAGGGGATCTTCTAGTTTTGACAAGGATGCTATGCCCATGAAATCTTGCACAAACAATATGCTTGCATAAACATGACTTGCATAATGACTGCATCCGTTGACATGACTACAGAAATGGGGAAAAAATTTCACAAGGCCCCAGTCCTAGATGAAGAAATACAGGTAGTCAATGGCTGCTGAGGGAGAAAGAAACAGTTTTCTCCAGAAACAAGCCTCTTAATAGGTTATCCAATCCAAAGTGGTCACCAACGCTAAATGGATTCAGTAGTGTGTGCGTATGCGTGTGTGTGTGTGTGTGTGTGTGTGTGTGTGTGTGTGTGTGTGTGTATGTGTGTGTGTGTATGTGTGTGTGTGTATGTGTGTGTGTGAGAGAGAGACAGAGAGAGACAGAGAGAGACAGAGACAGAGAATGTGTGTTTATTGAATTCACCCTACACAAGTTGCCGTAAATTGCCAAATAAAAGGCTATGTGGCAGGAGGGAGACACTGCCCTTCATGCTGTTGGTCAGAGGTGTTTTAGAGGCCCCCAAGATAATACAGGATACTGCCATCATTCTTGATTGTCCACCTTTACTTGATGACAGGACCCTATTGCTGAAGACACCCCACACATCAGTCACAAGACATGGGGAAATCAGGTCAGTACTGACCCGGAGGTTTCTCCCCTGCTGACTAGTTCTCACACTACTGGAAGGTACTGTGCAGGTTACTGGGTGTGAAGGAGTTATCAATAGTCTTACCCAGTTGTGAGGCCTGTGAACTGCAATGCAATAATGACCAGTGTGGCAAGATATGACCATTGATACCACAGTGGCATGAATGCTATGGAAGAAATAACCACTCTCTGACTGGATCTGAGGTCCAGGTCAAGAGGGGAAACACATGTCTGGTACTGCAAGCCTGCCCAGGAATCCATGGTTGGGGAGCTTACAGTTCCCAGGGGTGGCCCTACTACAAGTATTTTGCCAAATGGACATAACATCAAACTGCCCTCTGAGAATTTATTTTATTTTATGCATGTTAGTTTTGCCTGCATGTATCTATGTGTACCACATGCTTGCCTGGTGTTGTGAAGAAGGGGTCAAATTCTTTGGAACTGGAATTACAGACAGTTCTTAGCTGCCATATGGCTGCTCCAACTGCCCTCTGAATTCATATCTCTCTGCCCATAGATTTGTGCAACTCTCAGACCTCATCAGAGTAGTTCCTTTGTGCGGTGGACAGTTACTGACACAGAAATTCACAACTGGTCAAAGTGCAAAGAATGAGTATCAGTGGAATGTTCAGTCATGACTGTGAGATCTATATCACGACCCTCCCCAAAGACTCAGGGGCTATCTCAGAAGAGGGGGTAAAAAGATATGAGCCAATGGATGGGAAGGATTGGAGCAAAGCAGTGTCTGAATATGGCAGGACCACTGCTCTCAAGAACTCAGCTCCAATTGCCCAAACAAGATCTCTACCACATCAAGGCAGTCAACAGTCTAACCTGGAGTGGGAGTGAGGTTCATGAGCTCTCACTCTTGAAGACTGTTGAAGAAGTCAACGGCTTCTGGAGAGCAGTCAATATTTTTACTTCTTTAAGGGTGTGGCTCCTGATAAGCTGACCATGCTCCAGTGGGCGGCCCCATACCCAGAAGTATATGGACAGCACATATTAGAGTTCATGGGTTATTAAATTAAAAAAAAAAATAGGACACAGAGCTGAAGGGTAAGGAAGTGTGGGAGGGATCTGGGAGGAGACAGAAGAGTTGGGTGAATTTGATCAACAACAATCTCAAGTAATTAATAAAATTATAATTTAACTAATATAATTTTAGTTTAACACTATAGACACTCACCCTTTCTGCTTCCTTCAAACTTCATGGTTTAAGCACTGACTCTTTTAGGAAAAAGAAGTTGGGAGGGGGACTCACAGAAGTGGTCTCTTACTCCTTTCTGTATTTATTTCCAACATGTAAGTTCACTTTTATCTCCCACCTCCCAAGAAGGCTTCTGAGTTAACTCTGAGAACCAGAAATGGCTTCAGTGGATGACTTTCCTAAATGCCTAAGCTGGAGTGGAGAAAGTAGTGGGGCGTCCTCCCTCCTGCGTCTGTACGAATAGACCCAACCCCAGAGTAACGTTAACATGGTATAAGGTCAAATGTAGCCCTCACTTTTATAATCCATTTGATTCTGAAGTCAGGTGATTCTGTAGCTAAGTGAAGGATGGGTAATCAAAGTCTCAACAACTATAGTAATTATTTCCCACCACCCAGGGGGAAGCACAATAATTAGGCATCTGTGTGACCTAGAGTTTCTGTTCTAATATTTTTTCTTTCTATGATGTTCTCTCTTTAATTATTATTTCTTTGACAGTTGAAAAAGTTGCCCCTACATCCTAAAGCAGATATCATTAGGGAAACCTTTTGACACAAATGCCTCACTTCTGCTCACCATAGCCCATGATGATGAGAGCAGACACTAACTACCCAGGGAAGACATCTACATAGATGTCTGTTACTCTAGAGCTGCTACAATGTTTGCGGCTGAATCTTCCATGCTCTCTAAATATGTGGCCCAATCTCAGGCACTTGAGCTCTGACCCAGTTAGTACATTAATGAGAAATAGAGACTCCATTCAAGTGATCTTATCAGGGCAGTTTGTAACATGAAAGCTTAGCAGATTTTTGCCCTACTCCAGACTGTGAAACTTGAAGAGCACCATGTGAAGAACCTCTTGGGCTCCTCTGTCTCCTGCTAGAAGGAAATTGCTTTCCTTTCTTACTTTGGTGCTTATCACTGTGGTACCTCTTGCTTTTCTCTTGCCTTTGGCGCTGGGATGACTATGGAGCAGAATGTCATCACAGGGGTCCATACTCTATAGAACAGAAATGCTAAGGAGCCAAGTCCTCTGTTAGCTGGGAGCACACTGTGAGGATTATACCTACTGCTTTGCATGTGGTAGCTGGGGCTTGGCACAATTGTCCGCCTGGCTTCTTTCCCTCAGCTGTTTTGATCAGTGGAAAATGCATGAACAGAGAGCTAGCTCTGCCTCTGTCCCTGCACCATTGGGACCGGGGGGTGGGGGGTGGGTATTTTTTATGTGGCCAATAGTCTTAGACTAAAACTAGTTCCTTTTCTTTGCAGTCACTAATGTTATTTCTTCTCAAGCCAGGTACATACATTTACTGGAGGAGGAATCCTGGTGAGGGGCCCATTTTACTGTTAGTTCTTTCTCCCACCAACTACAACATCAGATAGGTTCAGAAAACTAGCCAGATTGGTTTGGAGTGAAACTATGTCTTGTGGTTTACTCATTCTAACCAAACCAGGAAAGAAAGGGGTGGGTATTTCCTAGACTTGGGGCATCCCAAGCCAAAGGTACTGAATTTTCAGGACTTAGAGTCTGTCAGTTGTAGCACTGAACGTTGCAGACATCCAGATTGCCAAGCGTACTCCAGAGTTTCTGAGTAACCAGTTCTGGGGTGGAATCTGGGAATTTGTGTTTCCAGTAAGTATCCAACTGATACTGACACCGGTAGCCACATAAACTTAATCTGAGCATAGCCGATGTAGTGAGACATAAATTTCAGAGTAATGAGATTTTCATAGTTTTATTGTAATCATGAAACCCTGACGTAGGGGACTAGAAAGATGGTTCAGTAATTAGTAACACTTATTGTTCTTTCTAAGGACCTGGTTCAGTTCCCAGCACCTACATCAGGTGGCTCACAACTGCCTGTAACTCAGTTCCAGGGCTCTGATGCCCTCTGCAGGCCTCCATGGGCACCTGCAGGCATGTGATACATAAACTTATGCAGGCAAACACACATAAATTAAAATAAATAAATATACATTTTAAAAACCTCTGACTGGGCTATCAATAAAAACAACAACAACAAAATGTCCACCTTTAAAATTAGCTTTTTCTTTCCACCAGGAAGGATTCAAATTATCCAACCAAAACCTGCTTCCTCTCCTTTCCCCTCTGCTCCGAAGTCACCACTCTCATATGTCCACTCAGTCTTTGCTCAGGCTCAGACCTCTGTCCTTTCATGGGCAGGCTGTAAGTGCCCCCTTGGGAAATTGTCACCGTGGTAGAAAGTCCTACCAAGCGGTATCTCCTTTGGAATAAAAAAGGCTTTCTTATTTATTTCTGGAAGAGTGATGCCACCTTTACCAGGCAGGCTGCTACAGGAGGGAAACTCATCTCTACAGTTATTCTCGCCTCACCTTTCTGGACCACTTCTTCC